AGGGTCCAAAGGACCCAATAATTGGGGTTTCGGATAGTCGTCATGTCGGTTACTATTTAATGTATGATTATTAGCTACTTGCACCCTTAGGGTTATAGACGATAGCCATACGATTGGACCATGGTAATTACAGTCATCGTTGGCATCATCACCCCTAAACCCCAAAGCCTCTTCCACCAACCCCAAACCCGTCACCCTAAACCCTAAACCCCAAGACCCCTAAACCCTAAACCCTATTCCACCAACCCTAAACCCTAAACAGTCATCATGGCAAAGAAACCACGCAATCACAACGACCAGCCTAGGCACCAAAAGCTCTAAGCCCCGCGCCCCCTAAACAGGGTTTAGGGTTTAGAGGGTTTAGGATTTAGGGTTTAGACTTCATAGTGCCTGTCGTAGTTAGTTTAGGGTTTAGAGGGTTTAGGATTCAGGGTCTAGACTTCATGGTACCTGTCGTAGTTTCGGGCTTCGGATGAGCAGCTCTGGCTCCTGCACATCTTCTCCAAGCAGCAAAAGAGCTTGCATTCGGATCGTGGTCCGAGGGATTCAGGATTTTTTCAATCCCCGAATCCATGGAAGAAGCAAGCTATTCTGGGGGTACAGTGCTGGTGCTTTCTCTGCTCGTTTAGCTGGGTGGCCTGCGGACCTTGCAATCCTTTCTTCAGTCTACCGGCACTACATGTTGGGAATGATGTGCTGTCAGCCGCCGACCCTCACTATTGACCAATCCGTGTGCAGTGCTTGAGCACCGCCATGCTAAAACACCCTATCCATCACATCACGGGACTTCAAAAACCCTACAGACCCTCAACCCTACCTTAACCCCAAATAACCTACCTTTTTAAGGACGTATATAAGGAGTTCATATTAAGGAACCCTAAAAAGGTAGGTTCTTTTGGGTCCAAGTGATACTAGTTTTAAACCCTGAACCCTAAACAACAAAACCCTAAAGCATAAGCGCGGCGGCGGGGTGTCTCGGGGCTCGCTATACGGTGCGGGGGTTTCCACAGTAGCAGAGAAGGAATGGGAGCGACGGCTTCGAAACGATCTAGGGTTTAGGGAAAACGGTTTCGGGGTTAGGATTTAGAGAACAACTGAAAAACCTGTTTGATTAACCCTCTGTTTCGGCGGGGTTCTATCACATAAATTCGTATTCAGAAACCCTAAGGAACAGTATGGAATGGTATTACCATTTGTTTTTATAATTGCCAGGTCCACAATAGCCTTTGGGAAGAGGACAGACACTCTCATGTGAAGTAGCCCAGGACTGGCTTAATGGCCTAGCCTGTTGCCACTAATGTAGGGGCCTTAATATTTAGAATTGGGCTTTGGAGCCCAGTATACTATACATATAGTAAGGAACCCCACAATAGTATAGGTAATTATTAAGGCCCCTACAGTACCAGTGCCGGGCTTCTCACTTGTTCTCGATGTCTTCATCGCCTGAGCATGACGAAGGCACAAACTTGTGAGCTGAAGCATGGACGCCTGCAAAAATTACACCGTAGGGGCTAGACTAGGGTGTGGGGGGGACTATAATAATTATAGTGAGGAACCCACCAATATGGTATAGGTAGTTGTTAAGCTCTTATATTACACCCGTTCATGTTGCAGTCCATGCAAGCATGACTGTATTCATAGTCGCATTAAGTGTTCTACAGCACTGCGAGACCTTGACCCCTCCGGCGTCGGTGCGAGACGATGAAGCGAATTAGAAGCTGAAATAGAAGGGATTGGCCTCCCTAAACCCTAAACCCTAAGGCCCTAACAGGCACCATGGGAAAGACGAGTGGAATGAAACTGCTCAATAGCTGGTCCAAAAAGGGAGTGGACCAATCTACGGTTTAGGGTTGGGGTGCAACGTGCGCAAGGAAATACCACTGATGGAAGTAAGAATCGAACCCTACACCCTAAACCCTTAACCCAAAACTCAAAACCCCTAAACCCTAAACCCTAAACCCCTAAACCCTAAACCACCTGACCCTACTGGAGATCCTTGGCTGACTACGTAGGCAACCCAAAACATGTCAAGTGGTGTATCCGAATCGTACTGAAAAGAGGAGCAGTAATTTGATACCGCCATCTTCGAGAATGCAGTCTTGAAACGAGTAAGTAGTCTAATATAGGGGCCTTAATAATTAGAATAGGGTTTTGGGGCCCATACTAGATGTCTAAACAGCCCCCAAATTAGTATTGGTAGTTATTTAGGCAGGCCCCTGTATGATTCAGATTTGCAAGTGACAACAAGAAATCGTGGGCCCAAAATCATGTGCAGACTGGAAGGCGCGGAGAGAGTGAGAGATGGCCCTGGCTGGAGGCCGAAATCGGCAAGGACGCTCATCAAGTTCACAACACGGTAGGGACTTTGAAATGTGCATCGTGCCTTGCTGTAAGGTTGCACTCCGTTAGCTGTGGGGCAACTGCCACCGCTTACCTCCCTTCCTCAATTTAAAGCAGCTAACAGCAGTAGTGCCGCAGATTCTGCACTTAGAGTGTACAATCTGCAAACGGACCGAGACAGAGAGGCTTGTACAGCTGCACAACTTATAAGTTGACGAACGCATGAACAATGATCTAATCGGTACACACACACACACACGTTTGGGGTTTAGGGTTTAGGGGCATGCACGGTTTGTACATGACACACACATCCGACCATTCCCTGCCCTGACCTGCCCCCTGCCCTCTGCCCTTGGCCCTGCTATGTGGGGGTGGGGGGGGGTTGTAGGTTTAGGGTTTGGGGCGCCAAAACCCCAAAACCTTAAACCCTAAACGCGAAACACCTAAACAGTAATCCAAGTTGCTGCTCTGCGTGTTGAGGGTCTGGGCCTCTTTGGTGGGGTACCACCTGGAAGTCACTGGGAGACTCGGTAGAATTGGGGGCCTTAATAAGTAGAATAGGGTTTTGGGGGTACATCAGGGCACCTTTAAAGGGGTCTTTAAGGCCTACTATAAGGGTTTAGGGTTTAGGGGCCTTGATAATTAGAATAGGGTTTTGGGGCATATTCTACTAAGATTGCGACAGGGAGCCCCCAAAAAGAAGTATTGGTAATTATTTGGGGGCGGTGGGTACCACAGTTAGGCTGCGCTTTGGGTTTACGGCACATTAAACTACTACTTGTATATAGGCAACGGGTTTAGAGTTCTAAGTTTAACTAACGCTGAGCAGAACCGAAAAATCCTAAACCCCAAACCCCAAACCCTAAACGTTGAGGAGAACCGAAGTGGCCCCGAACTCGAAGCTCCGGCGCCCGGAAAACATGAACTCCAACGTCCGACTCGCACACCCTGAACTCCTGAAAGGGCTGCCGGTTTAGGGTTTAGGTTTTAGGGCTTCGGGTTTAGGGTTTGGGGCTTCGGGTTTAGCGTTTAGGGTTAAAGGCAAATAATCAGGCCCGACACATTAGGGCTTGGGCATTGGGCGTTTTTGTTTATCTTTCGCTCACGCTTAGTTAGTCATCACTTCGCCTTATCGCTGGCAGCAGAGAGAGTGTTCGGGCTTTGGTACTTCCTTGAAGACCATCGGCTTCGAGTAGACCAGCCCTGAACCCTAAACCCTAAACCCTAACCCTAATCCTAAACCCTAAACCCTAAACCCTAAACCCTAAACCCTAAACCCCAAACCGATCTGAATAGCATGTTCCTTTCCAGGTGTCTCTAAAGCAGGATCCCCAAGAGCTCGAAATGAAACAACACATGCATGTCTACATCATTGAGTTTAGGGTTTAGGGTTTAGGGTTTAGGGTTTAGGGTTTAGGGTTTAGGGGTCATGTAGGGGCCTCAATAATAAGAATGGGGTTAGGGTTCTAGGCTCCTTTATCCTATGATTACAATTAGGAGCCCCAAGATAGTACTGGTAATCATATGGGTAGTTGTCAAAATTATGGTCCGTTTTGGGGTACCCTAAATAATAGGTGCCGTATTATAATAAGGACCCAAAAAGGGACCATAATTTTGACAACCACTCATATATGCAGGCCCTATAATAACGACCGGGATGCCACAGCACATCATCCAGCGTGGCAAAGATGAAGGTGCCGACCTTCTTCCACCGGACGTCGGCGTGCTACTGTTGATGATACAAATCCTGCATTACCTTAAGGATCCTAAGCTATGGGAATTATGGTATGTTCACTATTCTGGGGATCCTAAGCTATGGGAATTATGGTATATTCCCTATTATGGGTAGTGCAGGATTTATATCATCAATCCTAGGTCGTAGGACGTTGCTTCAGGCTTGGTATTAACAAAAAAGGCTCTATGGGTTTCGGGGTTAGAGTCTATAGAAACTAGCCTAAGGGTCCACGTACCCAAATTGTAGATACTTGTGGCCTTGAAGTAGTCCCTGTATCGGTGCTTTGGGGCCAAAGTTTAAACTGTTTGAGTACATGGACCCGTAAGGCTAGAGTTTAAAGAGAGGTCCCCCATGTGTTTGAGGCACCGGAAACATGAAAGCTCTTAGTAAAAAACAAAAATCACAAGCTCGCGAACTTTACACCTGTGAACTTGGAGGAAACTCTGTGGAGACATTGTACTAATGGGAGTTTTGAGATAATATCTTCGCAATAATGATCTGTATCGTAGTCGCACTATTGCAAGCGCGCGTAGCCTGCCTGTCTTCATTTACACTCTCTGCTGCGAGCAGACGTTGTCGGTGTTGGGCTTTCGGTGGTAACTGCCTGTACGTAGCGCATTGGTTTAGTCATCCCGGTCTTCGCCGCTCTTCTCCAGGCGCCGCCATTATGCACTTCATTCTTGAAGACCTGAACCAACCGTAAACCCCAAAATCCCCTCTAAGCCCGACAGCTCCAAACCCTGAACGACCACATCGAAACGAACTTCGAGTTGTTAGTAGCTGCATCCTTGCGTTTCCTCTGCCTCTTCAGAGTTCACGGAGATCCTGACTCACAGTCCCCCCTTCCCTTTATATATCAAGGTCGTCTTTATATTGGGGATCCCCATATTGAAACTTCAAGCAAAAGCAAGTGCAGCAAAGGAGCCGACAGGGTGCAGGCCCCGAAAATCTGGAAGAGATGATTGGAGGACCATGCGAAGGTCTTCCTCAAAGCCGGGGCGACTTGACTCCCGGCTGATCTGAAGACACGCCAACGAACCCAAATTGTCCCTACCTAGACCCCTAAAGAACCCACATTTTTTAAGGACTTAGAAAAGGAAATCATAATAAGGAACCCTAAAAAGGGAGGTTCTTTAGGGTCCAGGTAAACCCCAAACCCCTAAACCCTAAACCCCAAAGACCTAAACCCTATAAACCCTGTTCCCTAAACCCTAAACCCTGCACCCTAAACCCTAAAACCCTATAAACCCTAAACCCCTAAACCCCTAAACCCTAAACCCTAAACCCTAAACCCTAAACCTTCATCCTTGTCTCCACTGCATCACTCTGCTGGTTGCCTTGCATCGCTAGCGCCAGAACCCCACACCGACTCTTTAGGGTTTAGGGTTTAGGGTTTAGGGTTTAGGGTTTAGAGTTTAGGGTTTAGGGGTTTAGGGTTTAGGGTTTAGGGTTTAGGGTTTAGGGAACAGGGTTTATAGGGTTTAGGGTTTAGGGTTTAAGGAACAGGGTTTATAGGGTTTAGGGTTTAGGGTTTAGGGTTTAGGGTTTAGGGTTTAGGGTTTAGGGTTCCTTTGCATCTGGCAGCCCAAACTCGACCATCTAAACCCGCCCCACCCCCCGGCTTCATACACCTTAGTCAGTAAAAACGAGCTTGGGACTATACTCGATAATTATGTTAGGGCCATGTCCATACCATATAAGGGTTTTAAAACTACTCATTCCGACCCCCATCGTAGTGCGATGAAGAACCAAACCTTGGTGCTGGAAGGTCCGAAGACCCTAAACCCTAAACCCAAACCCTGCACCCTCATCCCTAAACCCTAACCCCTGACCCCTAAACTCTTATCCCTAAACCCTAATCCATGAACCCTAAACCCTGAACCCTAAACCCTAATCCCTAAACCCTAAAGCCGAAACCCAAACCCCTAATACCTAATCCATGAACCCTAAACCCGGAACCCTAGTCCCCCGACAACTAAACACTAAACCCTAATCCCTCAAACCTAAACCCCAAAACCCTAACCCCTACACCCTAATCCATGAATCCTAAACCCTAAAACCTAATCCCTCAACCCTAAACCCTAATCCCTCGACCCTAAACCCTAATCCCCTAAACCCTAATCCCTCAACCCGAAACCCTAAACCCAGGTTGTTCAAGGTCCAGGCTTCGCCTTCACAACTTGCAAGGTTCAAGATGTTCACCCTGTGGGTCTTGGGTCAGGATAAGGGTTTAGGGTCTAGGGTTAAAGGTTTAGGGTTTTAGGGTTTGGGGTTTAGGGAGTAGGGTTTAGGGTTTAGGTTTGCCAGCTTCGTAAATTGAGAATGCCTTCCTGTTCGACTTGGGGGATCTGGGAGCAAAGTACCCTCAGCCGCGCTCTCTGCCCCCACCTGGACCCCGGAGAACCTACCCTTTTGTAGGGTTCCCCTCTTATGACTTCCTCGTACTAGCTCTTTAGGGCCTGGGTAGGCCATGCTTGCCGAAGCTCTGGGAATACATCTCGTCAGGATTATCAAAGCCTCAGCTCGGCAGCTGCGGTGATTGCTGCTCTTGCCGTGTAGGTCACATGAGCGAGCGAGCCAGAGAGAGAGAGAGAGAGAGAGTTTGTGTGTGCGTGTGTGTGCGTGCGAGACTGCGACCAATGACTGTGCGTGTGAGTGTGCATGTGCACGAGCGCACGTGCGCGGGTGTTTGTGTGTGTGGGTGTAGGTGTGGGTGTGGGTGTGGGTGTGGGTGTGGGTGTGGGTGTGGGTGTGGGTGTGGGTGTGGGTGTGTGTGTGGGTGTGTGTGTGGGTGTGAGTGTGGGTGTGTGCCGAACTCCTATTGCTAAGGAGAT